GCCAGTTATTTCATTGCAGAGAGTTATCAAGTTGGTCAAGCATGACTTCCTGTTGGAAGTTGTTCATGCTGATTACTTCTGATGATTTTCTTGTCCTTAATGTGCCTTGAAATTATTTTCATGATTCATTGATCTATCACTTTCCCAGGGACTGATGTGAGGCTGATCTGACTGTAGTTCCCTGAGTACTCCTTTATGACCCTTTTGAAGACAGGAGTGAGAGTTGCTGGGTCTTCAAATGGCTATACTAATCATCATTATCATTCAAAGATTCTTGAGAGTGACTTCAAAAGGACATCAGCCAACTCTATCAGCACCTGCATGGTTCAATCCCATCAGGTCCCTTGGACCTAGTATGTCTGATTTGCTTAAGTATTCTCTAATCTGATCCTCTTCTACTTAGGGTAGGTTTTCCTTTCTCCAGGCTTTCACCCTGTTTCTGGTACCTGGAATTCCGGAAGACCAGGCTTGCTAGTAAAGACTGAGAGAAAGAGACCATTCAATACTTTAGCTTTTTCCATGTTCTGTGTCACCAAGGCCCTCTCTCACTCAACAGTGGGTATGCATTTTCTGTAGTTTTCCTTTTGTTCCCTCTGTATGTAAAGAAGCCCTTCTAATTGCCCTTGACGTTTCGCATCAAACTCGATTCTAGTTGAGCTTTGGCTTTCCTAACTGTTTCTCTGCATTTTTGGACTTACTCTACACCTTCCAGGTTACCTGTCCCTGCTTCCACCTTGTTTATGCTTCCTTTTTATGTTTGAATATTGTCAGGAGCAACTTGTTCATCCATGCAGATCTCCTGGAATTTTTTAACAGCTTCCTGCTTGTTGAAATGGTCTGTGCTGGAACTTGGATGAGGTGATCTTTGAATATTAATCAGCTTTCTCAGGTCATTCTTCCCTCACAGGCCTTATCCAGTAGGACTCTTCCAAGCAGATACCTGAAGAGTCCCAGGTCTGCTCACCTGAAGTCCAGAACTGGGATTATGCTTTTTACCCTTCTTCAGTATCTTCACAATCCCGAACTCTACTATCTCATGGTCACGGCAGCCAAGGCTGCCTTTGGCCTTCACATTCCCAGAGAGTCTTTCCTTTTTTTGAGTGTGACCAGACCATCTCTTCTTACTGTTTTTTCTATCACTTGGAACAGAAAGTTGTTACTGATGGTCTCCAAGATCCTCCTGCACTGTTTATGCCCTGCTGCATTCCTAAGATTGAAGTAACCCCAAGTGAACCAGGACTAAGAATGTGAAGCTACTTGAAGCTTTGAGCAGGAAACTAGAATAGGGAATTTCTTATGTCCGAGCTGGATTATACTGTGATGCTTGTTCATTTCTCATGTGACCATCTGTGTTTCTGCTCCTGTGGGGAGAGATTCCTCATAGGGCAACATGCCATTGGTGCAGGGTTACTCAAATAATAGGTCATTGTCTATATATAGCCCATTGGGATGATATGTAGTTGAATTGGGTTTCCATGGCCAGGTTTTGGTAGTGGGGCGGGAGCAACAGAAGCGTCCTCCTTGTCTGACAGAGCCAATTTCAGCCAGCTCCAGGATGTACCCACTGCTGGCAAAGGCTGAGCCAATCAGAAATGCTGATAACACCTCTGTGATACCATATTTAAGAAGGAAAAAAAAAAGTTATTGGGCAGATATAGTTGCAACCAGGAAAGAGAGGATTGAAAATTGAGAAAGGAACAACTATGCAGGTACCAAGGTCAGTGCAGAAGGAGTGGAAGGAGGTGCTTCAGGCACTGGAGCTGAGATTCCCCTGCAGCTTTTGGTGAAGATCACAGGGAAGCAGGCAGTTTCCATGCAGCCCAGGGAGATCCATCGGAATGCAGAGATCCACCTGGAGCCTGCGGAGGAGACCCATGCCAGAGTAGGTGGATACCCAGAAAGGAGGGAACCCATGGGAAGCCTGTGCTGGAGCAGGTTCCTGGCAGGGACCTGTGGAGTATGGAGGAAGAAGTTCACTCCAAAGCAGGTTTCCTGGTAGAACTTGTGACCCTGTTGGGAACCCACACTGGAGCAGGCTGTTCTTGAAGGACTGCACCCCGTGAAAAAGTGACCCACATTGGAGCAGTTTGTGAAGAGCTGTTGTCTGTGGGATGGACTCACATCTGAGAAATTCATGAAGGACTGTCTCTAGTGGAAAAGACCCCATGCTGGAGCAGGGAAAAGACCTCTTCCTGAGTAGCAGCAGGAATAATTTGGGATGAACTGACCATAACCCCCATTCTCCGTCTCCCTGCACTGCTGCAGGCGGAGGAGGTGGAACCTGGGAAGGAGGGAGGGTAGGGGGGAAGGTGTTTAAGATTTATTTTACTTCTCATTATCCTACTCTAATTTTGTTGGTAGTAAATTCAGTTAATATCCCCAAGTTCAGACTGTTTTGCCTGTGATTGTATTCAGTGAATGATCTCTGTCTGTTCTCATCTCAACTCATAAAACCCTGTCCAGTTGCAGATGGGAGTGATAGAGCAGCTTTGGTGGCCACATGGCATCCAACCAGGGTCAACCCAGCACAGCAGACCACTCCTAACTTTAACCATTCTAAGGAGACCATCAGTAGTGAGGGGTAGTCAAATGCCCTAGTGGGTGCAACCAGCTGCCAGCCTCCCTCTTTCCCAAAGTTGTTAGCATCCCTCCATAGTATATGAGCACTTCTTGCTGGAAGATAAGGAAGATGGTGACAAGATGCTGTTAGCCTCTTCAGTTCAGGTCATCCACACGATTCTTGCCCATGTGTGACTAAGTCTCAGATTAAGAATTACTTTTTATTAATTATTTTCATTTTGTTTCTGAGTGGGCTGGGGGAAAATGGTGTAAGGACTGCCTTGAGTATGGAAATATATACTTGATGTGCATTTAGTTGCTTCTCCTTTCCTTTTGCACCACGTTCCACTTGGTCCCTTCCAATATTATGAGAGAAAATACGTGTTCAAATACAGAATCTTCTCTCTAATCTCATTCTAACTCTGGGTGCTTATAAGGTATTGAAAGAATTTAAATGAGTATTAATACTTGTAATAAGATGAGAGCTAAGCTTTAGTGCATAGCATGAATTGCAAAAGAGGGATATAGATAAGTATTTTTCTTTACATGCTGGAAATAGGAAAGCTTTTTATATGTTAGTAAACTAGCTCTTTTCTCCATGGACTGTTTAAGTTTTCTACTGGGCAAATGATATATTCTAATGCGTTTTGGTTGGTTGAATCATTCTGCTTTAGTCTTGTTGATTGTTGACCATTAGAATATGCAGTTCTCTTCCTGACTGTTTCTTGTGAATGAGGCCCACAATCCACAGTGGGATTACACTGTAGTTTTACAGGATCAAACAAGTCTGTTGTTAGGTGTTTGGAAATTTTACATCTTTGTTTACAGGAAAGGTAAAGAACTTGTTTACATTCAAGTTGTATATGGTTTCTGGAGCAACTGTTTATGTCAGTACATTGGTGTAAGATTCCTGCTGTATTTACCCAATGGCATCCAATTGAAAGTTTTTTCTGATTCTTCCTGTTTTCAATTGATGATTTCCTCCTAGAGTAAATGTTTATCTCCATTTCAGTGTAAAACGAGTAGTTATCAGTGAATCACATAAAACGTAAACAGAAAGAAATTAACTACTGTTGGGCGTTAGGAATGTGCAGAGTTTGGGAAGAAAATCTGCTTTGGGGAGACTAAGGCATTTCTCTTGTCCTCTCAACTCTCAGCTGTGCTGGATGTTCCCTCAGTAACGCATCAGTTCTTGCTTCTATTTCCTTCAACAGCTTGATGAAAGATGAAGAGTTAGGGCAGCCAAGAGAAATAAATTTCATGACATCATTCTCTGGTGGATATGTATAAGTTAATTAGTTATGCTCAATTTTATTCCTTTGTTCTCTAATCTGTCTAAACTATGTTACAGGCTCCACTGATCTGTGAAGACTAAATAATGTGCAGGCTTGTACACGGTATTTTATGACTAGGAAGAAAAAAATCTTGTTTATTTCTCTTAACCTTTGTTGAGGAACCTTAACCATGGGAAGAAAATGGGAAACAGGTCTGATACAGAACCAAATGTTTACTGATGTATTTTTAAACAAGTGAAGTGTACTGACATTGTCAGGTGAAGACAGTATAAACATTGCTGCAGACTTTTAATTGTATATTGGCTAACAAGTGGAAACCTTTTAGTTTTCCCAAGGGTATAATATGTCTGGTGATTAATCTAGTATCCATTAGGAGTGCAAGGCATCAGCTCTGTGCACACTAAGTTCTTTCATCCTCGGTCCAAAAACCATTTTGCAGTCGTAATGCAAGGATGCCTACAGAGATGTGTGGGTGTATATAAACTCTAACCTGAACATCTTGTAGTGTTCTCAAGTGGGAGGGCAATTTCGCCTCTTCACTGATTTTACTGATCTCTCTTATGAGCAAGTAGTGCCATTTCCTTCAACCTGTGATGAATTGCATGTGCTATGCAATGTGTGCTATTGCTCACTAGAGGATTAAGCAGGAGCAACAAACCTGCTTCACTTTCCTCGTCTTTCATGAGTGGCAGACACCCGCGTCATCTTAACATTTTGATACATAAAAACAGCCTTCTGGTTTTTCTAGATGAGACTACCTAGGTTGACAAAAATGCTTACACTACATTTGGATTGTTTACAAAAAAAAAAAAAAATTCAACGCATTACTTGTTCTGAAATCTTAAAAAGCAAAGAAATTTTATGTGTATTCTCAGCACTGTTAAATTAAGCTGTCCTGACTACCTGCAGTAACCATGGTATCTAAAAGTCTGGATTACTGCAGTAGTTCTTTGTCTGGGATATGGTACGTACTGTACTTGGATTTTAATGGAGCCATTTATACAGATTTTATATTTTCTCATAAAACTCCTCAAGGTGAATGAAAACAAGCGTGGGCTAAGTGTTTGCACTTTTCAGTGCTCTTTCTGTTACAGAATCTTGCTGGCTTTCCTAATTTCTAACTTATGCAGTTTCTTTGTCTTTTAGAATGTCGGGTGGTGAAATCCACTTCCTATACCAAAATAGCATCGACTTCACGTAGGAGCACCACCAAGAGCCCAGGCCCATCCAGACGCAGCAAGTCTCCAGCTTCTACTAGCTCAGGTAAAGCAAGTGAGCAGTCTTTCTTAACAACAGCAACCATTCTGTTTCAATACAATGGGCAATGCACTTAAAATTCCACCTTTCTGTGGAAAAATATTATGCGTATGAAACAACTGATAGTAAAAATTCACTTGTTTTCTCAAGCATCTTCCCAATACAAAATAAAACTTCAGTGTTTTATAGGTTATACTCTAACATTACCATGGTTCAATTCAAATAAGGTCTTTGTGGGGAGATGGTGATCAGAATGGCCCAGTGAGAGAGAAACTGAGAAGGAGGAAAGTGGGAGAGACACAATGAGATACAGGCATGCAGATGTGGGTAGCAGGGCTGGTAGGCAATGTGCCTCCTACACATCCTAGGAACAGCTGAAATAAAGAAACCTGAAAAGAGGTAATGGGATGAAGGAACATTCCTCGATTGAGGAACAAGCCCAGAGTAGCTCTTTCTTAAACATGCCAAGTAACTTTCTTTGTAGCTAGGTGGAACAGAGTTAAATTAAACTTTAGCAAGGGAGGCCTTGTTTGGTGTGTGAATGTTATGGACTCTTTCTGGGTTTCTTTTGTAATGAATATTCATTTGTGAGTACAGATCTGAGCAGAATACTTTACATATTCAACCACTGGAACAGATCAGGAGATTATTTTAATACTTGTGGGGGAAAAAAGGAATATTCTCATCATAACATAATTATATTAATATATCATTAAATTTATAGAAAGAAAAGAAACAGTGTAGTGAAAATATTAAAAATACAAAGCATTTCAGATGACAGATATAACCATCTCAAAAATTTCTTATGTAAAACCAATAAATTTTTAGAAAATAGGCACATACTAGTTTGACAAAATATGGTCCCTGGTCTGCCTATTTGACATAATCATTTGAACACTGCAATTAAGTTTTCTTACAGAAAGTGTTGGACAAAGCCCTACAAAAATGTATGGGATGCTGACAGAATAGGCTGTCAGCTGGTAGGAGCCTGGGTGAAGGACTAGCTGAAATACAGGGCTCAAAGTATTGTAATGAATGGGGCTACATCTGCTTTTCAGCTGGTCAGCAGCAGCATTTCATCAGGGGTCAGTTCTAAGGCCACTTTTATTCAATATTTTTATTGATGATCTGGATGCAGGAATTGAATGGACGATTGACAAGTTTGTTGATGATAACAAACTGTGAGGTGCTGTTGACTCTCTTAAGGGACAAGCTGCCTTCTAGAGGGGTCTAGATAGATTGGAGGATTGGGCAGTAATTAATGGGATGAAATTTAACAAGAGAAAATGCTGGATTCTGCACCTGGGATGGAGTAATACTAGGCACAAGTATAACTTGGGAGAGGAGTGACTGGAGTGCAACCCTCCTATTCTATTCTATTCTATTCTATTCTATTCTATTCTATTCTATTCTATTCTATTCTATTCTATTCTATTCATGTGTTACAACTTAAAAGGGATAAACAATTCAGTCTAATAGAATTTATTTGTAGTGGGAGTGATGGCTCTGATTTGGCTTTCTGTATCTCCTGAGTTTGCCTTCTGCAAATAGTGAGGTCAAATTGTGTGTGTTATAGGAAGCCTATTTCTAACCTTACATACATGAGTACTTACATCAGTATTACTTTTATACATGGAAGCAATATTGTACTAAGTGGACACTTGCTCTCAAGAATCATTTTAAAATCACATAAAATTAACAATACTCAATGATTTTAAAAAATGAAGTTTAATATTAGACATTGCATTAAAAAAAACAGCAGTAGAAAGAAAAAGAAGCACTGACTGATTTTTTTAGACAAAAAGTTCTCCTGTGACATACAAATTGTATGTATAGATTTCACTTCTCTTCCACCCAGCAGGCCTAAAAATACTGCCTATTTCTTGGAATTATGTACTCGTGACAGTAGCAGAATAGAGAAATTGCCATCTAGTGCACATATGAGCAGATGATTTTTGTCATGTCTACATTAAACATCTCAGTATTAGAGAATCTCCTGAATGACTTGTGCATAACTGCAAGTTATGCTTTTGTTGTTATGTTGTTACTGCTAAGTGCATGTACGTGTATTTTTATTCTATGTTTTTAAACTGCTTTCAGTTCATCTTTAAACTACTGTTAGGGATTTTTCTTTCTTTAGCAATAAACATAGAAAATACTCAAGAAAAAGAGTAGATTCTTTATTCAAATCAAAGACAATATATACATATTCCAGAAATTTAAAGGTGTATAATTTTGTGAAGAGTTTTGTTATAAAACCAAGTTGAAAGAAATAGGGTTAAAGGACAGACAGAAAGCATTCTTGAGAGTGTACCCTTGACAAAAAGCTAAGTGAGGTGTATGGAAAAGAGCATGTTGCTAATTAGAAAAAATCTGACTCCTTTGGTTTGATACTTGCAGTGTTCTGAGAATTCTGCACATTCAAGCTGCACAAAATGATCATATGCCTGCTTCAGTCTTGAATTAATGTCCGTATTAAGATAATACACAAGGATAACTACATGGGCCAAAAAAAGGAGAATTGCATAAACAAAGAATGTGTTAAGATGTTAAAATATCGAAGTTGGATATTAAAACTGATAAAATTGTAAAATGAAGGAATATCCTTTAGTTACCCTTTATTATCTTCTGTGTGCATCTATGATATGGTATAGCCTTTAATGCAGGTATTCAACATTATTTTCAACATTATTTTTCCTCCCATCTAGCACAGGATAGCTGATTTGAATCATTTTTAGAATTAATGAAGGCACAGTCTTTGGACCATTTTCCTGTTGTTAGAGAAATAGATATTTAAGAGATAATAGAGAAATAAGGCTAAGACATGTAGACCATCTCTTCTGGTTTAAGCACTTAATTGCCATCCTCAACAACTGTTTCTCTTCTTTGACACAGAATTTTAAGTGGTCAGTGAATTAAGGCAAATTTTGGCTTGAACTAAATGTTTATAAATGTAATGAAGTCCATGAGTTCCTTTTTCTGAATAAATGGTGGTATGAGGTGATGAACTTTCCCAAAGTCATCCCAATAGCTTATGAAGTTGCTTACAGAAATCAAAGGGGTTATTTTGGGGGTTGGTCATTTGTTGGGTTTCTGTCTGTGTCTCATTTTCGCTTCTCTAAGTTTGAAGCAATAACATTTTACCAAATCCGGTGCTTTGAAGATAAATTCAGTAGTGTTAAATTATTTTATTTTACTTGAAGGCCCTTGCTTTCTGTCTCAATCTCACCCTGTTGTGCTGACCCCTGACTCTATGCAGGAGATGGCAAAGGACCCTGAATGTCCCCTCTCCTTTTGAGAACCTAACCACTGCTCTGGAGAACCATTTCCCTCATCATCTCATCATGTACTGGGGGGAAAAGAGCTTTTAATGATAATTCCAAGGCAATTAGATAACTTTCACACTTTAGAGGTGCCTATTTCTCTCCATCACCTGCAAAGGCAGCCTCCTCGGCAAGCCTGAAAGCTCTATACAGAATCTACCATAACAGCACTTTCAGGCTTTGCAGGTACATGGCCATGGGAAGAGCAGCATAGGAGCAGCAAGATAAAAACCACTATCCCACAGGCACTAGGGCACACTGCCACTGCAGCATGGGGCAAAGGGGGAACCTATGAGTGGCAAGCAGGCTGCAGGGTTGCAGGGAAAGACCTTTATCAAAACCAAGAGTGCTCAGGGCCACACAGATTCAAATCTGTATTCTGGTTAACTGAGGGCAAGGTAACGTGCATCAATCTCTAAGGGAATGGGAAACACACGCTCCCCATTACTTCTTGAGCTATACAGTCTACAGTGAGCAAAAAGGCTGCATCTGCCTTTACACCATTTCTTGGCATATTTCAGGGGAATGTATGCTTTTCCGTAGATGGTGTTCACCTTTCTTCCATCATTGCTTTTTCCTTTTTTTTTTTCATAAGAGAGCATATGTTTAATGTGCTTATATTTTTGTGTTAGCCTCCCCAGCTCTTGAGAGCAGATGCATCCTATTTTTATATAAAAACATGGAATGCTTTTTTCTTACAAGAGTACATGCAGGCTTGGAAGGTGTGTAGTAAGGGCTGACTTCTCCATTATTATGTTTTCTTCAGTTTTTTATTTACATCTGACAGTGTTTCAAAACAGTACCACAAGACAGAAATCTCACTGCAGGGGGATTGCTTTCTGTTTTTTTACAAATTCATTTGAGATGTTTGCTTCAAAAGGCTTTCAGTCTAAATAGAGAAGAGAAGCAGGGAACAAGGCAAAGAAGAAAAGCAGAGAAAGGTAGTGTGACCTCCTGGGCAGGCAGAGGGCTGAAGTCTGGTTCCGAGTGCAATAGATAATCCTACCTTTATTTAATTTGCTGATGTCTTCTTAAAGCCTGTAAAACACTTTGATCTGTTTTTGTCGACATCAAATAGTATTCGGAAAAGGGCATCATAAAAGAGTTGTTTCATTTCAGTGAGACTGCATATCAACCTGTTGCTAGTGACTGAAAATTATGACTGTCTGATTGCTATTCAGTAGCTGTCATCTTCTGTCCAGCTGCCAATTAACGTTATTGGTGGCAACCTCAGTGTGGGTGAAGAGTTAACAGATTCAGAGAAAGCAACAGTTCTTCATGATCATTATTTTTAATCAAATCAAGAGCAGCAGGAGATGACTGAAGTTACTGTACCCTTGGTCCACTAAATTAAGGAAAGATGCTTCATTCAGGTGAACTCTGGTTTAGCTTCTGAAATTCCCACTGTAATTTTCAGGACTTGCTCTCATCAAAAGTAGCTACTTTCTTTTTTTCCAGGTTGAGTACCTTACTTCTTCTCCCCTCTGACCAATCTCCTCTTCCCTTCAGATTATCATTCAGAATATTTCAGATGCTTGAAAGTTATTTAGAAGTTTAGTTTATTTAGTGACAAGTGACTATTTCAAGAAAAACTGGGTTGATACATAACTATTCTGGATGACAAAGGGAACATATGTGAAGAATGGATAGAGAGTCCTATTACCAAGGACTATTTGTTGTGTT